TTGCATAGTTTGTGTTCGGTATGGACAGCAGTGGGTGGTCGGTATGGAGAGCAGTGGGTGGTTGGCATGGACAGCAGTGGGTGGTTGGTATGGAATCTATATAGTGATTGATCCTGCTTCTTTAATTAGAATGTACTTAATTCGTCAAAAACTCGTCAACACACAGGTGTTAATGTATTCAATCGGTAATGAATACCTGGTTTTCACCCTGAACACCTTCAATGTATCTGGGCTATCTCCAACATCCGATCATTCACGCTCCATAGAATTTAGCCAATACGTTTTGAAAAATAAATAGGTTCTCGGTGGTCGCGGTGAATCTGACTTTTAAACTTTGGTGTGTTAAGGTGAACTCTGTCGTCGTGACAAATAGTGTCTGAAAAAGTGTCAGTTAGATTTACATAATTGTAATCTCCAATGTATGGTGCTTGTGTGGACAAGCCGACTGGGTACGGGACATCATCACATGGGGTGTACGAACTGTAAGGGTAGGGATCTGTGTCATGCCCCTGTGTTCCTGCTACCCAATACATTACTTGGCCATGCCTAAGTTTCACAAACGTTCCTTAACTTCAGGGAATTGCTTAACTTAGGAGTGCATTAATTGCAGATTATTCCATACTCCAATAGACTAATGCTATCGTATGGAAGGACGTCTGTACCGCTGTACTCTGGGTTGTCGTATATACAGCAACATCCGTTAGGCCGCCTGTACGCTGTACTCTGGGTTGTCGGATATACAGCAACATCCGTTAGGACGCCTGCACCGCTGTACTCTGGGTTGTCGTATATACCGCAACATCCGTTAGGACGCCTGTACGCTGTACTCTGGGTTGTCGGATATACAGCAACATCCGTTAGGACGCCTGCACCGCTGTACTCTGGGTTGTCGTATATCCAGCAACATCCGTTAGGACGCCTGTACGCTGGACTCTGGGTTGTCGTATATACCGCAACATCCGTTAGGACGCCTGTACGCTGGACTCTGGGTTGTCGTATATACCGCAACATCCGTTAGGACGCCTGTACGCTGTACTCTGGGTTGTCGTATATACAGCACCATCCGTTAGGACGCCTGTACCGCTGTACTCTGGGTTGTCGTATATACAGCAACTTCCGTTAAAGTTTGTTTTGATATAACTCTTAGCACATTTGCGACACGACACTCCGTGGACCATAAAGCTCAGTCGGTTCTATCGACAGTATAACTATGTGAGGTCTAGCGTTCGAATCCCTGTCAAGCTTCGCTGAATATTTAAACTCAAAATACTTTTGTTGGTTATATTGTGTTTATTTAACTTTTGTTATTTTTTCATAAAAATCCCGTAAAGTATGGGTTTTTTTCAGAAACAATTGATCAAAGCTATAATCATGCCGGAAAAACAGCTACCAGTGCGTACATGTAGATACAGATTTCGCCAGTTGTACAGGGAATTAATTTAGATTAAAGAATGTTATTTTCATTTCAAAATATCTTATTAAATCAATCCGATTTAAAAGGAATTGAGCAACAGGAAAAGCTTATACAAGCTGATGAAAGACATGTCACGTATCTTAGACCGATTGGTTCAATTTCCTTGATTTGTCGGCAGTGCCAAATACGGCACAGGAAATTCTTTGATTTGTCGGCAGTGCCAAATATGGCACAGAAAATTCTTTGATTTTTCGGCAGTGCCAAATACGGCACGGAAAACTCTTCGATTTGTCGGCAGTACCAAATATGGTACCGGAAACTCTTTGATTTGTCGGCAGTACCACATGTGGCACGGGAAACTCTTGTATTTGTCGGCAGTACAAATATGTGACGGGATTTTTTTTGTATTGGTCGGCAGTACAACATGTTGTACTGGAACTTTTTAAAGTTTTCCTCAGTCGAATCGATAGGAAACAGCTTGTATTTTATCAGGGTGACATACGTATGATCATGCATAAATACCATTACGAATGAGAGAAAAATACCCATACATTTATGATACGACGTTAACCCCAGTTTTCGTTTTTGGACAGGTTCCATACCTTTCTATACATTTAGTGCATTAGTAACATTTTTCTCCTTGGCGATAATGTGTATGTGAAACGAAATTATCTCGTATCTTAGCTAAAAAGGATCTCTTTTTACGGGCCTAATAGCTTGGTAAAAATGCCAACATTTTCTGTCAACTAATGTCAAAATATTCTGACGAATGTATAAATCATTCTTGTTCATTCTTGTAAATTGTAAAAGTACGCCTACATTTTGGCCTGACCTATTTCCTTTCAACACGTTGGAATTTGGTGAATAGCGATAGCCCCGGAGGACTCCGGTAACCTCAATGAGTGCACAGTGATAGAACGGTATATCAGATCTGGTGAAAGGATCTATAACGCCCGATGTTAAACCTTTCTTTACTAGTGACATCACAGGTAAATAAAGAACATGTAAAGTCTGTGGGCAAACCTGTTTATAAAAGACGAAAGGAGAAACTGGCACGGATACTGGACAAGTGAATTTTCATGCATTTTACCTATATCAAAAACAAAGTACACTGTACTAAAGCCAGACGCGACTCCAATGGGGCTTAGGTAGTTATGTACCCGCAGGCTTTGTATAGGTAAAGATTGCAGTTTAGATTGTTTAACAGCTGATCGCTATGCAGGCCTGATAGTAGATACTATCTATATCACTGAAGAACGTTTATTATTACCGCACCGGTCTACCAATGGGGAAAAAATAAAGGTTTGTACTCAGCCTGCCATGTAAATCTAAAGCTAGAATAAACGTAATGTAACGTTCTCAAAGATAGAGCCGGGTAGTGTCAGGACAATCACAAGGCACACTATCGAGCATAATCAACAAGACAGTCCAGAGGGATATTGGCGTCAACCATCAAACCATCTTCATTGCATATGAGTAAGGCTTTGGGTTCTGTCCCCGGCAGAGACATACCAGAGTCTGTAAAAATGGTAGCTTCCACTCCTTCTTAACGCTCAGCAATTTAGGAGTGGGGCGACTAGTTCGCCCGTTGTCAGTATAATGTGACCGGATGGGGTGTCCTGCTGGGTGTCTTCGGCAGTATGTTTCAGTGAAGGAGCACTATAAAGTCGGCATCAGTTCCTCGCTATCACTAGGAGACTAACACGGACATATCGCAGCATCCCAAAACACACACGCAGACACTACACGCATGCATCTTGCACACAGGGGCGGCCGTCCTTAAATGACCATAGCTGTTGACAGGTCGAAACAATACTAAACCAAACCAAACCAACCATTGCATGTTTTTAATTTTGTATTACGCCTTTATATTTTTTCTTATCCGCAGGCTTGAGTCATATCAACAGTAAATGTATCTTGTGGTAGCTTTTGAGCAAATCTTCACAATCTGTGTTTGACATTGTCCTTATAAAATGTGAGGCTGTCGTTTGACCTTTGCACTCCTTTTATACTTGTACTTATTGTGTCAAAAATAGACAAATGGACTTCTTATTTCTGGCAATCACTTTCCAATACTTTCTGAGAAATAAAGACAGCAAGCTTTACCTGTCAAATTCTAAGACGGAAACTTGACAGCCATCTTGTTGTTGTTTATGTGCAACAAACCTTTACTGTCAAAATCTGAGATAACTATTTTACAGCCGTTTTGTTCTTTTCATCAGTTTTAAAACCATACATGCAAATCTAAGAACCGAAAGGAAACACTCATATGAGATTTTTTAAAGCACATCCTGAGAAATAGCTATAACAAACTTAAACTATCAAAATCCAAGTTTGGCTGTCTGGTGGCCATCTTGTTTTTCTAATTAAGGATTAAGTCTTAAAAATAACGTACAAAACTTAAGAACTAATTGAACATACCCTTGTAATTTGAGGAAGGTTTGTGATGGAAATAACGATAACAAACGTTTAACTGCCATGAACACGACGCTTTCTAGCACACGCTGTGTAGCGGATATAAAACGGTCATTGAGTCACGTTCGATCTCTCACAATTACTTACATTGCTTGCTGAAAACTGGATTTTTCATACATTAATTAAATTATATATTTATTTGACCGTTCAGGTTTGTTATCGCTATTCCTAAATACTTTATCGACTGATCTTTATCCAAATAGATACTGGATGAATTCAATGCTACTTTTTGTTCATGTTCATGTTTAATTGAAATAAGATAAATAGCATCACTCTGCAGGTTCTGAGTAGGATTACGTCTGTTATATCCCACTGTATGTCATCGTAAGAGGCCAGTAATGGGGGCCCTGGTCAGTTGGGGAAATCCGTAGGTCTTCTGCGTAGGGGACAACAAAGAGACCAAAATTGACCTGCGCCGCAATGCAACACTTGTGATCTATCTGTTCTCTATCCTTACTTCTCTTGGCCTACTCTAGATCTACCTGTTCTCTATCCTTACTTCTCTAGGCCTACTCTAGATCTACCTGTTCTCTATCCTTACTTCTCTAGGCCTACTCTAGATCTACCTGTTCTCTATCCTTACTTCTCTAGGCCTACTCTAGATCTACCTGTTCTCTATCCTTACTTCTCTAGGCCTACTCTAGATCTACCTGTTCTCTATCCTTACTTCTCTAGGCCTACTCTAGATCTACCTGTTCTCTATCCTTACTTCTCTAGGCCTACTCTAGATCTACCTGTTCTCTATCCTTACTTCTCTAGGCCTACTCTAGATCTACCTGTTCTCTATCCTTACTTCTCTAGGCCTACTCTAGATCTACCTGTTCTCTATCCTTACTTCTCTAGGCCTACTCTAGATCTACCTGTTCTCTATCCTTACTTCTCTAGGCCTACTCTAGATCTACCTGTTCTCTATCCTTACTTCTCTAGGCCTACTCTGTCTTTTCGGTTGTCGTCTCCTTGGTCCACATCTCCATATTGATTGGCTACACCCAATACCTATCAGTACAAACAAACCAATAAACAGCCGATTGGCGAGTCGCGCTCTATGATCTATTGTAGCTTATGGACATTTTTCAAATAAGAAAGCCTTAACTGGGTTACTTTGTTACAGCGGCTGACTGTGACAGAGAGGAGGCTCGAACCTGCTTCATGTCTTTCGCCAAATACGTCACCATAGCAGTCAGTGTGAAGGGGAAACACCGCTCGCACATTTGTCGGTAAGTTTTATAGACATCGTTCCATTCAAACTTGATCCTGAAGAGTTTTTTTCTCCTAGGAAAGCACTGTCCCTCGTATTAGTACAAGGCCTGAACGGATTCTAGCTGTGTTTGTTTACTTCATATATACATATATATGTTTACTTAGGGTATTTTATTAGTGTCATACTCAAATGAGGGACAATCAGGTTTTGGACGAAAATGACCTAGTTGTTGATTAATCAATTAATTATTTTTATTGTGTTACATGGGCAACATACCTCAGGGGGTTTTTTTCAAGAAAAGGATCTTTACTAAACCACATCAGAAACAAATTCATCTTAGGTCGCCCTCGCCTCAACCAGCAAAATACAGTCAAAACCTGCCATACTACATTTTAAATAGTTTCGTAATTTGCAAATAACATATTAAAGCAGTGCTCGTCATGAAGTTGGTTACAAACTAACAACTCAAATATATATGTAAACACCTCACAAACGTGATATATTTAAAAATATTTATCTTTACTGCACTTGATCTCTGAGGAAGTGTTGCGTCAATAGTCTAGTGTAAGTGTTTGTGACCAGGTATCTCAGTGGTCTATAGTGAGAGTTTTGTCCAGGTATCTCAGTGGTCTGAAGTGAGTGTTTTGTCCAGGTATCTCAGTGAACTATATTATTTGTAATCAGGTATCTCAGTTGTCCTTTGGTATAGTGCGTCTGTTACTGTTCGAGACCAGGTACATGAACTATAAGTATACCCCATGCAACGAAGTTAGGGGGGAATACTGGAATCAGGTTGTCCGTCCGTCTGTCTGTCTGTGGACGCAATGTACCTCCTAAACTACTGGGTGGATTTGGGTTATCTCACGAATGTATGGCCGTTGGTTTATAAACCTTCCCTAGCCCATGACATAGTCTTGAAGGTATGTCGTATGCCAAGGTCTAAAGGTGTGATTGCAACATTTTCAAGTAGTTCAAAAATACTCAACGTGTAAAATTACTCTGAACACCTTAGTTTAGGTCAAAATATAGCTGTAACCACGGACTTCTAATCTAATAATCTAATTCCGTGTTTGTGGTAATAAGGTTGTGTAATGTTAGCTTGAAAGTTGTGTATTGCTCTTGTGCGTTACACGGTCTTTTTGTATGTGACCCCCCGCCCCCGAGATTTTCCATATTTTAAGCAAGACCTACATGTATATACAAAACATCATGGATATAATGTAATCTATTATTTTAGAGAAAACACACTTTCATTTTTTTCAATTTTATCAATTTACTTACGCTGACTAAAAATAAAAACTCGACAAAATTATGTGTAGGCACGTGCCTACTCGAGCCTAAGCCTGATACCGGTTCGATACATATCGTTGTAGTGTACTACAGATGATGCCAATTAACGAAGCTTCCCATGCATCGATCGTTCGTTGGTTAATTTGTCAAAAAAATAATCATGTGCATGTATAACCCATCAATGGAATTCCGGAATTGGCCAATTATAACTCTAACGTCGTTTCTATGTTTTGGTTGTGCATTTCCGGTTTCCGGAATAAAATGTGAAGTTGGAAGAAGATTCTGTTTCAAGTCCTCTTTTGTCCTCTCATTTTGCATAAACGCTATATGTTTACGAATCAAAATTGGACATTATTTGAGATGAATTAACAGATAATGCGGTTTTGACACCAGCGTTTGCAAGAAGTGTCACAATTTTTGTTATTTATCATTATTCCTGTATATATATATACTGTCCCTGCTGTGACCTACATGAATGTGTGAACTCCAGCGTACGTCTGTCCGCCGAAGACTGCCTAATATACAGACAACCCAAAAAATATAGTGACAACAAATTGCTACAAGACTACCTAAACAACCTGGAAAAATGGGCCAGGCAATGGAATTTAACACCAACAAATGCTACGTAATGAACATCAAGGAAAAAAGCCACCGATTCTACACCGTAAATGGCCATATCGTGGAACAAGTGAAAACGGACCCCTACCTCGGACTAACGATTTTAGACGACCTAAATTGGAATGCCCACATACTAAATATATCAAGAAAAGCCAGTTCGGTCATTGGCTTCCTTAAAAGAATTCTAAAACATTGCCCATCATAAGAAAATCGCGTATATATTATAACGCCTAGTACGATCTATTCTTAAATATGGTGCAATTACAGAAGCTTTATTTTACGTCGAATATTATAAACATACAACATAAGCTACGAAGAGCTTGTATTTCGACAATCCCATACATCCAAAAAGTAATTGACAAGCTTGAAAGATTACAACACTTGGCAGCCAGCTGTTTCATAACAAGTGACTTACATTGTATGTCCAGGGAAGATCGTTGTGTCACAAGGATGCTGGAGAACCTGGAACTACCAACACTCCAGGTCAGGCGAGCACAACAGAGGGTCATATTCATATATAAGGTGGTTGAGGGTTTGTTACCGGCTATACCTCAAGCTGATCATCTAATAAAAACAAGATCAAAAAGGAACATCAAAGCCAGGAACAATGGACTACATGTATATATAAAAACATGTGGTAGAAATATCCGTATTAAACTACTCTAATCCTACACAGTACAGACATACATGTACAACTGTAATTGTGAATCTTGGCCTTCCAGTGGACATTTTATTAAATGCTGATAGATACTGCCATCCCACCTCCCTCCTAGTGGAGTCTTTGATTACCAGGTCCAAACCATTTACCACTTACACTTTAATAACTACATGAAGTGATGTACATTGTTGTCTCAATTTGAAAATTGACTGAAGAGATTCTGATTATAAATCAGAATAATTTTTGCATCAGGGTGTATTTACTTAATTTTTGAAGAAGAATCTGTTTCAAGTTCTCCTTTAATTTATTCTGTCACATCACATAAACACTAAAGTTCACATCTTGTATAACAATCATACTTTTTTTGTAGAATGAAAGAAGAAGCATTGGAATGTGAGGAGAAAACCAAGAGGTGTTCTGAACATATGTCATCTTACCTGAGCTTATTCCACGCCCTGATGCACCACGCGTGTGGCAGAGGTAAGGGCACTGTAAATCTTGATAAAATAACATTTAAAAAGTGAAATAATTTGTTGGTGAGAAATATCTTTCATTAGAACATCATTTTGTAGGTTAATGTTAACTTAATTGCTTCTGTTTATTTTTTCAGGAGATATGGAAAGTTTCGATAGTGATAAAAGTGGCAATAGTGCAGAAGATTTTGGCAGCTATGATATTGATGATGTTGACTGGGGAAAAACTGGCAATAGCAAATCAGAGGAAAGTACAAACAGTGGAAGCAGGGAGGATGACAGCGGAAACAGAGATAGTGATAGTGGAAGCAGAGACACAGATAGTGGAAGCCAAGAAAGTGGAAGCAGAGACAGTGATAGTGGAAGCAGAGACAGTGATAGTGGAAGCCGAGAACATAAAAGCGGAAGCAGAGACAGTGATAGTGGAAGCAGAGACCGTAAAAGCGGAAGCAGAGACAGTAAAAGCGGAAGCCGAGACAGTGATAGTGGAAGCAGAGACAGTGATAGTGGAAGCAGAGACCGTGATAGTGGAAGCAGAGACCGTGGAATGGACAGTAAATCACAGGAAAAAGAAGAGAAAGATAGTTGTTCTCCAACATGTGATCTCCAGGCCTCAGCGGTATGCTTCCTGCAATTTATGGAGGTGTTTTCTCAAGAATCCATTACCGGAATCTGTAGGTAGGATGGAAAAACACGTTGGAAATATGAAATATTTAAAAATAATATTTATGAATAGAAGATTATTAAATAAAGAGCATCATAAATTTCCTGTTTTAATATCATACATATATTTAGAAGTTTGTACTAAACAAGTAACTTATAAAATGTACATTGTAAATGTCTTTCAACATAATAGAATGTGGGGGAAGACAATAAAACGTTTGTTAAATTTTTCTTTACCAGCATTACTCTGACTATTCTATAGAAATAAATTGAATTGATCAGATGTCATGAAATGCCTATGGAATAACAAATTGTAGCTGTAACTGCATAATAAGACAAAATTTGTGAAAAGTCTGGTGATCACAATCAGGATGTAGTTTTCTGTTGAATTGATGGCTTTTTAAACTTAACTTTCATTTGGTATTCATTTCATTTTTATTAAAACAGAAATCAATATGTATATATGTCTAGGTATTCAAAATGATTTCTCTGAGATAATACACACAAAAATGCTTATATTTCTGAAACTTTAAGGAATATTTGATTTAACATTAAAATACTCAAGGTAAAGGTAATAATTGTAATGATTGAACTGATCTAGAACTATTTAAGCAATCTGTAAATTATCTCAACAGGCAGTCAATGTGGTCAGCCAAGTGTATGTCCGCAGCTGTGGTAGGATGCCAATCTGCCCAGAAGCATGCTGTAATGGCGCTGGTCAACAAGGTGATGTTGACCCATGATGAACTTTGTGGGTCAAGGTCATGTGAGCTGGAGAAAGCTGCTGCTTGTTTGAAGGAGGCAGGAACAACAATAGAAATACTGCTTAAACAGCTGACTCTGGCACCTCTGTTGTGTGGGTGAGGACATCAGATGATTAACATTTATAAAACATCTGCTTTCCCTCCCTTTGATTCACAACCTGAGGGGCTACAATGTACATGTACTAGTACTATGCATATCAAATATGAAGGTGATCCCCTGAGATGACAAAGCTGGTACCAAAAATATAATATAGGAGTGAATCCTGAAAAAAAAGACTTCTTTAAAAATGGGTTGATATTTTACCACCACTGTTTTGATCTTTAATACAATTTGTTTTTGTTTTTTTTAGCATATTGAATGGATTAACCTGAATTTGTATGAACATTCAAATTAAATTACTCAATTTGTCCATAGTTGTCATGCAACTTGTGTATTTATGTTCAGTATTTTCATATTGACTGTTTATCAGAGTAAATACAGACTGTGTAGGTGGAGGGATTTATTAACATAAACCAATGTATCCCCTCAGCCGTTGTTAAGCTACATTTATGTATTATTGATACAGGAATCTGAAGGGAGCACTAGCTTGTGTTTATAACCACACATCAAATTGTGAAATGAGTGACTTTACCTCATCGGAAGAAAACAGTGATGAGAGTATGGAAAGGGGAGGCAACCCAGGACGAACAGACAACTCTTCTATGGAAGACAATTCCACTTCAACTGAAAGCTCTACAAGGCCCACTAATCAAATGGGAGACAACTCCACTGTATCACGAGGAAACGTTTCTACCACCATAGGTGTAACTATAGATTCTACAACAAGGTCCGGAGTAGACGGAATAGGGGATACAGCCTCTGAGGAAAACAATGGGATGAGTGCCGAGATGTTGATGATTTACCTACATACGATAGGTGTGACTGCCTACAGCATATGTAAGGAACATACTGTTGGAAAAGACATGATGACGGGGGCATGGCTGGGAGGAGATTTGGCCTTTAGTATCCTTCTGGGTTCACCCTACACAAGGTCCAAGGATGTTTGTGGGTAGGTATATAGGAGAAAATATAGTAAGAAAGGTTTACAGTGAAATAAACAGGGCAATATCAGTATTGTCTTTTTTGTAAAGTTTGTGGTCAATGTTCACCAGAATTTCTACTCTCTCTAAAATATTGCCCAGTATATTATTACAAGATAGTGTAGAATGAGTATATAAAGTCTTGACCAATGTGCTTAAGGAGAAAGGGGGTCGGGTGGTGCAGTGGATAGCGCACATGCCTTTAACCAAGGCAGCCGGAGTTCGATTCCCCAATCAGACGTGAAAAGGTTGGGGTTACCTGTCCGACCATGTGGGTTTTCTCCGAGTACTCTGGTTTCCTCCCACATTCAGACCCCCACACGCTAAACACGCTAACATCCGGGCCAACAAGAGTGATTAATATAAGTTGAAATAAATTGTTTCATAATTGTTGTAAAGTAAATAAAGTTTATATGTAAGGGGGTCTATAAATATCTTCATTATGCAGTTTATTCATTTGATAGAAGGATTATCAGATATCTTGTGTGGCATACTTGACAGTGGGCAAGATAATCTCTAAATATTATAAAAAATGTCATTACCGGTATGTACTGTGTACACTGAAGAGCTCTCAGTTATAAGAATATATTCCTTGTGAATATGCCAGAAAGGCGAAAAGATGTGAAGTGAATTTAGGCAGATCTCAAGGCAATCATTCCTTTTATTTGAAACATTAATATTGCATTCAATTTGAAATTTATTTTTATATGTTTACAACTTTCTTTTACAGGCAAGTTTCAATTCATAAGCATTCACAGATGATCATGACTGGAGGGAATTTTGAGAAATGTAGAAACAGAAACGCTGGTCTGTTTAGCAGTGTGTCTCATAACAAGGTGACCTCTGGATGGAGTGGAGAAAGTGGAAAAACTGACAGCAGGGAAAGTTCAGGCAGTACAGACACTACTGACAGTCAAAAATCTGGAAGTATGGGAAGTCGTTTAGCATCTAGAAGTATGGAAAGTCGTACAGCATCAGGAAGTATGGGAAGTCGTCCAGTATCTGGAAGTAAAGAAAGTCATCAAGCATCTGGAAGTATGGAAAGTCGTACAGCATCAGGTAGTAAGGGAAGTCGTCCAGGATCAGGAAGTATGGGAAGTCGTCAAGCATCTGGAAGTATGGAAAGTCATCAAGCATCTGGAAGTATGGAAAGTCGTCCAGGATCAGGAAGTATGGGAAGTCGTCAAGCATCTGGAAGTATGGAAAGTGGTGAAAATGAAGAAGATTATTGGGAGAAATATCGATATAGAGAGGATTATTTCAATGATCTATCAGATGATTTTCTTTGGGGCTTACACACAGATCACAAGTCCTCACAACAAATGTTCTACCACATCATTGGAGACATGTGTGTAGACCCGAGGAAAGAAGACGCGGCGGACTGTCAGTCTGGCTCTGAAGAGATGATGGTGACTGTAAGTGATGCCACCACAACTACTGCCACTCCAACCACCGCACGATGTGAGTTTGATGCTGGAATGGCGTGTGTCCTAGATTCTAATGTCCACGAGATGGCGCTGCAAGTTTTCTTGTCCACTGGGACCTATAAAGAAGCCGTTCGGGAAATGTGTTTGTGAGTATAGATATTTACATGTATTTTTGTGACTTAGATGAGGGAAATTTTGAAAAGTGCTGATGTCATTGATGATGTAAAGGTGTCCAGTTAGGTAGACATTTTAATTGTCCCTATCTGTGTTGGTAAGGATATGAGTTCTAAATTATATGGATATTTGTAAAAAAAAAAATGAATGTTCCTAACATCATGTCAAAATTTCCCTGAATTTAAAAAACATTTACACCTAGAACTGGCTATGATACCACGTAGCATAGATTCAGTCAATATCTAATGATAGGACAATTAAAAAAAGATCACAGTAAAAAGTGGTATATGTATGTTTTGTGTATCTGATTGTAACCATACCCTTGCAGGGGCAGGTATTGGAAAGAAGGGAGGGCCAACACTTTTTTCAGAGTGATTTCCTTATGTAATTCTTGCGCATTTGGCACAAGATTGACATGCCAAAGGCTTATGTGTGAACACTGAAGGGGTTGTAGGAGGCCTTACAGCTTAACCTCCAGAGAGAAAAGTGAAATCTATAAATGTTCTGTTGTGGTGTTTATTAAATATTTAGCATTAAAGAATTAATGTCCAGTTGAAACAGTATAATTTATATAATTGAATTTTGATATGATTAAGAAAGCAATGCCCAATTTGCTATGTAGTTCTCTTAATCCACAATTCAACATAAAAATGGATTTTCAAACAAACTTTGAATCTTTTTTGAATCAAGAAATTTCAAACCAACCTCATATCATGCAGAATATGTATATTGATATAAAATATGTATGGGTTGCTGCAGTGTACATGTAGTCATATCTAATTGATAAATAAAACTGGTAAGTTTCTATATATTGAAATGAATAAGGGAGATTATAAAATCAATCAACGTTAACCACTTCAAGTTAGGAAGAACATGTATTTTAACAGACATTTTGTTCTTTCCTTTGACAGTGAGGTCCATAGAACACTGACGTGTGCATATGACAACATTGTTGGCTGTGAGATTTACCAAAAAAATCTGGTCATTGACGCAGTTCACAAGCTGCTGTACATCGTGGGAAACCAGTGTCCTGATCAAATACCTTCCACCACAATGCCCAAACCAACTACCCCACCTACACCCACCCGAACCCCTAAGTGTTCGGAAATCAAACCTAAGTGCAGGATTGGGGACATTGAGGAAGAATGCTTTGTCTCTCAGTCTGGAGTGTCCGCTTCTTGTGAGTAAGTAGAATATCAGATGGTCTAGCTGTTTGATGGTGAATGGTAAGTTCAAGGTAAAGGTACTCTCATTGTTTTATGCAGCGCTGAATGATATGTTAGCAATCAGGTGATAAATGTGCAAAAAAGTATTTAGGTAATTTATCACTGAACTTACTCATTTCTCATGTTTAATGTCAAAACAGTCGGTAATTACTAATTGGTTTTGGTTTGTTGAGTTAAGTGTCCAATTAACAGCTAAGATCATTTATGTGTGCCTCAGTGTGTGTAATGTATGTGTGTGTACATATGCTGGTGTATTTGCCTCCTTGCAATAGTGTGGATCTGATGCCGACTTTAGAGTGCTACCTCACTCAAATAACATGCAGGAGGCACCCTGCACATCATTCCACCCATTAACTCTCTGATTAACCACTGGTACACAGGTTAACCTGTCCTAATTACTACTAACATTTTAATATCCTGTCCGTCAATTAATTAGATCTATACTGCACAGTGGGATATTTTTACAGGTTTGATAATGCTTCGCTATATTATCCTGTATTTATTATATTGCAACAACACATAATCATTTCTTGTTGTTTTTGCCAATACTACATGATCTGAATGCATTTTGTTTCAGTTCCTACAATGCAACATTGCATTGTGTTGGTGACCTTGTAAGACCATGCCAACAGATGCAGACCTCAGTGGCCACCTACATGTTAGATAATCTCCGCGAGAATCTCACCGGTTGTTCTGATGACCTTACAAACTTCTTTGAACTTCCCTATGATGACTCGTCCAGGCTAGCTGAGTGCACACTTCAGGCCGCCAGGGAGTTCCGTGCCGCCATTAGAGCTGCTGAGGAACCCACCCGCAGGCTGTGTATGACTTTATGGAGTTTCTCAAAATGTTACGCAGGTTTTGATCTTCCGACGGCCACCAAATATTTGCTGGCTCGCTCCGAGGCTCTCTTCAATGACTTCAGCTATCACCACTGCATGGCTTTGGAGGAAGAAGGTGGGTTCTAGATGCCAGCCAGTATACATGTACCATGAGGCTAGTTATCTTCTCAACGCTATCTTTACTTATGCTTCTTTTGATTGTATATTTCACATTTAGTAGTATGTATTGATTAGAGTACTGAACATTAACTTTTGACACTCAGGCTGTTAAAATCTACCTGTTTAGATATATATTCTTCATCTTATGCCGAAGGTTGAGATTTCAGTCGTCATCACACAGTAATGATTGCTTATTTTTCTCCCACGCTTTCCTATCATAAAAATTATTTGTATTGGTGAATTCCATGCACAGCACTAGTCATCAAATTTTGTTATGAAATTGGTGACATACCTCTGTTAAAAGCTGCATAAATATTAATGATGATGCAATGATGATATTTTCAGAATAAAAGTGTGAGCAAGTTGTCTTCCTTTATGGAGGTAAAGACAGACGTTATCTTTTCCCTTGCAAATACGGGAATGCATCTGTGAAGTGTGGCAGAGTAATCAATCATTCCTTGCTGGAGAGACTATACACTGTATCTTGTATAATTTACTGCCATACTTACTGGGTAGATATGGTATTTAACAGGAAACCATTAAAATACCCTGTACGTTTTGTTTGATGAACAGAGTCCGTGTCTGTATGTGACCAGCCCAGGATTATAGGACTCTGCAAAGCTGCCATGCCACGCTTTTTCTACAACTCCACATCACAAATGTGCGAACCATTTTCATATGGTGGATGTGACGGAAACGACAACAACTTTGACACCATCACAGCTTGCCAGGCGCAGTGTGTTGAGGGTGAGGCAATCATTTCAGCTGTGTGCTGGTGTTTCATCTAAACTCAGATGTCAGTTTTTAGTTTTTCTGACACAAGTTTTAGTCAGATCTTGAAGTTCAGATCTGATCCTGCCGTTTTTCTTTTCAGATTCAGCTGGTTAAAAAATGGTTGAACCAGATAAGCGGAAGGCCCAGATCACTGTTATAGTGTTTTTGGTTTTTCTGAGTTTTAGTTAATGTCTAAAACCTATAAACTGTTGTAAGATGTTCTTAGAGAAGAAGTTAACTGCTATTGCATAGTAGCTAGTGGTTAACTGTATTTACACATCTGATCAAGCTTTGAGCAATGATACTGTTTTCAGTGATTTCATCTCACGGTCTTTCATCTAGCTCTCGCACACTATACTGCTTTCCATAGAATTCAACCAATCGTGGGACATAATTGCAAAATGGCTAATTTTGAAAATAAGATCCTATATTTATTAATCGTATATACCTTTGATACAAACCTTGACAAATCGTAAATTGACTGTTTTTACAGTTGCAGCGTTGGATGATGGGTGTGATATGTCAAAGGTTTCTGTTTGTATATCCACATACCTTCTTAAGCTCTTCACCAAGACATTCATGCCGTTCTCCCATCAGTCTCTTATATGCAGGTAAATCAATATCTTCAACAGTTTTCTTGTATTTGTTGACAAATCATCACCGATGGACATGCTTATAACTTTAATTAGGAGGATGGAATGCTGTAGGTTTATAGTATAACACGTTGCAATTTGAACTGAACAATTGTGAAGAAGAGATTGTACAAAGAACAAATTCTATTATTTATATACCAGTGTACGTATATATTATATAATATTACTGTATGCACTTTTGTACTTGCAAGGTAAGTTGAAGGCGGTATATATCAATACAAAGCATGATAAACAGTGATATTCGGAATATATATTCAGTATAAGCAAATATCCTAAATTTATCTGATGCATCATTTTGGAGCAAGCAAGCAAGCCTACTTTCCTCTGTTTTAGGGACTATTTAATAAAAAGGCTAGATTCCCTCATCAGACCGAGATCATCAGAGTATAATATATATGTACTGTTGAGGTGTTACAGTACTCTGTCTGCAGCCTGTCTTTTTACCACTTTGAGGAAACTTGTCATGTATTGTGATGTAAAACAACCATTCAAGAAATAATTCCATTGTTTATAAATTATCTAAATAGACCTATATTTATTATATGTATTTACTTTTTTCTGTGGACAGTAAGTATGGTGAAGTGAATGAGTGTGTTCAAGAGTCCATGATGGGCTGCTCAACTTCGGCCAAGCTACGTCACGCCCATGTCTTGGAAATGTACCAGTCAGTGTACCAGTGGGCATGCCCTCTGATTCGTCCTGAGGTTCCAGACATACAGAGTTGTCTCCCTCACCTAGCTGAAGCCAGTCTGCAGTACTTTGGTGTGATACTGTCAAATGCTGGGAACCACAACATGAATGCAACCTGCAAGTAAGACAACTATGGACAGGAAGTATACACAAACAGTTTTACACAAACTGAAAAATAAATCAATGAGACGATGTCCATTAATCCAGTTTTGATTGAATGAAAAATGATACAAAAATACGTGTCAGTCATATCAACAGATCGTTTGTCATACACAACTTGCACAGCACTGATCACAATTGGAAGGTCATGATGTCAATGTCACAATTTGAAGGTCACGATGTCAATGTCACAATTGGAAGGTCTTGATGTCAATGTCACAATTGGAAGGTCATGATGTCAATGTCACAATTAGAAGGTCACGATGTTAATGTCACAATTGGAAGGTCATGATGTCAATGTCACAATTGGAAGGTCATTATATCAATGTCACAATTGGAAGGTCACGATGTCAATGTCACAATTGGAAGGTCATGATGTCAATGTCACAATACAGTGTATCCATGTAAATTAGAATTGGCATCTACGTACTGTTGATGCCTGCTAACAAAACCGACAAAAGTTGTATTTAATCCTTGGTTCACAAATTTGGAAATTTAAAAAGGAATGCAAATTCGGATAAATTGGTACCATATACATGTATGTTTGAATAAAATGTTAAAATTTGAAGTTGATTAAGATCTTGCTATAAAAACAGATAACTATATCATAACATTGTCTTACCAGAATTATACTCCAAATTCTTTCTATTTTATTGATTAGAGAACTAAGTCATGCACTGTCAGTGGTGCATGCCACAACGTTTAACTGCTCAGATGACCAGAAGGACGATGTTGGCGATTCCCTGAGTAGTTTGAGGCCACTAGTGGGTGACCTGTGTCCAGACATCACGAACATCCTTCATTGTAATAGCAACTCTTCATACCTAGTGGATGATCCCGAGACAGCAGAGATAACCCAGTCATGTTCTACAAAACCGATTTCATGTGATGTGGACACAGTATTGTCTTGTTTCGATGACAGGAGTAATGCGACCACTTTCTGTGGGTGAGCAACATTCCTTTATTGCCCTTTAAATAGTGAAACGTAATTATAATACCCCTGCAACAAAGTTGTTGGTATCTGTCTGTTGACACAACCCTGTTGGCACTACTCCTCCCGAAGTACTGCACCTATTTAAATGAATCTCTGAACAAATACCTCTTACATTGAGGGCATGTGAATAAAGTATATAGATTGGGGTTACCTCCCCATAAAATGTCCATCTCAATGTAAGTATAACAAGTATGATGGTGGTGATGCTCCTACTGGTAGAATGTAGGTGTTAATTAATGGCTATTTTGTGTCCTTCCTCAGAAATACAGCAGTGGCAGCATGTATATCAACTCGTATCAGCGGATGCCAGGACTCGGATATCTCTGTCGTTCATCAGTCATTGATGATGCTCTCTACAACAACTGCTATTGATACTGGTGAAGTCTGCGATTTCGATGTCACTTGGCCCTCCACCTATGATCCGGAGAGGGGAGCTGGAAACTGCACAAAACAGTTTTATGCTGGCCTGGAGGAAAAGTTTTTATTAGAAACCAAGCCAGACAACATGGTTCTGTGTGCCCTTTTCACTCGGTTAATGAATTGCATTGATGAGGAATCATCTACCCTTCCTCTTGTCCAACAGCACCTGGTACAGACACTTGGTAGCCAAATGAGCTCACAACTAACAGAGTTGTGCCAAGCTGGTAAGTTAGACTTACGATTATAAAGTGTTTTATTTTAGGTTATGTTTTTGCCTGTTGTAGCCATATTGGCTAGACAGTAGCTGGTAAGTCAGACTTACGATTATAAAGTGTTTTATTTTAGGTCATGTTTTTGCCTGTTGTAGCCATATTGGCTAGACAGTAGCTGGTAAGTCAGACTTACGATTATAAAGTGTGTTATTTTAGGTCATGTTTTTGCCTGTTGTAGCCATATTGGCCAGACAGTACAGCAGTATTTTATACAATAGTGCTGAGTACAAGAATCTAGAATATTTCAAGCCTATATCAGGTCTTTTATTCCAAAGATAATTTCATTCAAGACATATCTTGATGACAATTTTGTATTCCCATGACAATGATGTATACAAATTTCTTATAAGTAATTAACAGCATTTTTATCCAATGTAAGCACTGAATTTGAACAAACAGAGCTAGGTTGTTGTATACATATTACCTAAGTCAGTATATAGCTCTGAAGAAGTATAATAGTGACAATGTAAGTAAATCGTTAAATTTTTAGGCAGTTCACCCCTTTGTCAAGATGAACAAACAATGAATAATTACATAACAAGGAATACAATACAAAGAACAATAATTGTACAGTTATAGGGAAGACTGAATTCTAGCTCTGATGTTACAGTATATTGACCTCCACCTGGCTTGTAGTCAAGGGCTGTTTAGAATGAAGAATCCATCTTCAGGTGGTGTACTGAAATACATACCAACGTTGGTGGTAGTGACAGTGGTAGTGACTGTGGTAGTGACAGTGGTAGTGACAGTGGTAGTGACAGTGGTAGTGACTGTGGTAGTGACAGTAGTAGTGACAGTGGTAGTGACAGTGGTAATGACTGGTAGTGACAGTGGTGGTGACAGTGGTAGTGACTGTGGTAGTGAATGTGGTAGTGACAGTGGTAGTGACTGGTAGTGACAGTGGTAGTGACTGACAGTGGTGGTGACAGTGGTAGTGAATGTAGTAGTGACAGTGGTAGTGAATGTGGTAGTGACAGTGGTAGTGAGTGGTAGTGACAGTGGGAGTGACTGTGGTAGTGACAGTGGTAGTGACAGTGGATATATCAATGGTGACAGTGGTAGTGACAGTGGTAGTGACTGGTAGTGACAGTGGTGGTGACAGTGGTAGTGACAGTGGTAGTGACTGTGGTAGTGACTGGTAGTGACAGTGGTGGTGACAGTGGTAGTGACTGTAGTAGTGACAGTGGTAGTGACTGTGGTAGTGACTGTGGTAGTGACAGTGGGAGTGACAGTGGTAGTGACTGTGGTAGGGACAGTGGTAGTGACAGTGGTAGTGACTGGTAGTGACAGTAGTGGTGACTGTGGTAGTGACAGTGGATATATCAAAAGTAAATGCCAAGGTTGGTGGTAGTGACAGTGGTAGTGACTGTGGTAGGGACAGTGGTAGTGACAGTGGTAGTGACTGGTAGTGACAGGGGTAGTGACTGTGGTAGTGACAGTGGATATATCAAAAGTAAATACCAAGGTTGGTGGTACTGACAGTGGTAGTGGTAGTGACTGTGGTAGTGACAGTGGATATATCAAAAGTAAATGCCAAGGTTGGTGGTAGTGACAGTGGTAGTGACTGTGGTAGTGACTGGTAGTGACAGTGGTAGTGACTGGTAGTGACAGTGATAGTGACTGTGGTAGTGACAGTGGTAGTGACTGGTAGTGACTGTGGTAGTGACTGTGGTAGTGACAGTGGTAGTGACAGTGGTTGTGACAGTGGTAGTGACTGGTAGTGACAGTGGTAGTGACAGTGGATATATCAAGTAGTGACTGATGTAGTGACTGTGGTAGTGACAGTGGTAGTGACAGTGGTTGTGACAGTGGTAGTGACTGGTAGTGACAGTGGTGGTGACAGTGGTAGTGACTGGTAGTGACAGTGGTAGTGACTGGGAGTGACAGTAGTGGTGACTGTGGTAGTGACTGTGGTAGTGACAGTGGTAGTGACAGTGGTAGTGACTGGTAGTGACAGTAGTGGTGACTGTGGTAGTGACTGTGGTAGTGACAGTGGTAATGACAGTGGTAGTGACTGTGGTAGTGACAGTGGATATATCAAAAGTAAATACCAAGGTTGGTGGTAGTGACAGTGGTAGTGACTGATGTAGTGACTGTGGTAGTGACAGTGGTAGTGACAGTGGTAGTGACCGTGGTAGTGACAGTGGTAGTGACAGTGGTAGTGCCAGTGGTAGTGACTGGTAGTGACTGTGGTAGTGCCAGTGGTAGTGACTGTGGTAGTGACAGTGGTAGTGACTGGGAGTGACTGTGGTAGTGACTGTGGTAGTGACAGTGGTAATGACAGTGGTAGTGACTGAGGTAGTGACAGTGGTAGTGACAGTGGATATATCAAAAGTAAATACCAACGTTGATGGTAGTGACAGTGGTAGTGACTGTGGTAGTCAGTGGTAGTGACTGTGGGAGTGACAGTGGGAGTGACTGTGGTAGTGACTGGTAGTGACAGGGGTAGTGACTGTGGTAGTGACAGAGGTAGTGACTGTGGTAGTGACAGTGGTAGTGACCGTGGTAGTGACAGTGGTAGTGACAGTGGTAGTGACTGGGAGTGACAGTAGTGACAGTAGTGGTGACTGTGGTAGTGACTGTGGGAGTGACAGTGGTAGTGACAGTGGGAGTGACAGTGGTAGTGACTGGTAGTGACTGTGGTAGTGACAGTGTTAGTGACTGTGGTAGTGACAGTGGTAGTGACTGTCATAGTGACAGTGGTAGTGACAGTGGTGGTGACAGTGGTGGTGACTGTGGGAGTGACTGTGGTAGTGACAGTGGTAGTGACAGTGGCTATATCAAAAGTAAATACCAAGGTTGGTGGTAGTGACAGCGGTAGTGACTGGTAGTGACTGTGGTAGTGACAGTGGTAGGGACTGTGGTAGTGACAGTGGGAGTGACAGTGGTAGTGACTGGTAGTGACTGTGGGAGTGACAGTGGGAGTGACTGTGGTAGTGACTGGTAGTGACAGGGGTAGTGACTGTGGTAGTGACAGTGGTAGTGACTGGGAGTGACAGTAGTGACAGTAGTGGTGACTGTGGTAGTGACTGTGGTAGTGACAGTGGGAGTGACTGTGGTAGTGACTGGTAGTGACAGGGGTAGTGACTGTGGTAGTGACAGTGGTAGTGACCGTGGTAGTGACAGTGGTAGTGACTGGTAGTGACCGTGGTAGTGACTGTGGTAGTGACAGTAGTAGTGACAGTGGTAGTGACAGTGGTAGTGACAGTGAAAAGTAAATACCAAGGTTGGTGGTAGTGACAGTGGAAGTGACTGTGGTAGTGACTGTGGTAGTGACAGTGGTAGTGCCAGTGGTAGTGACTGTGGTAGTGACAGTGGTAGTGACAGCGGTAGTGACAGTGGTAGTGACTGGTAGTGACTGTGGAAGTGACAGTGGTAGTGACTGTGGTAGTGACAGTGGGAATGACAGTGGTAGTGACTGGTAGTGACAGTGGGAGTGACTGTGGTAGTGACAGTGGTAGTGACAGTGGGAGTGACAGTGGTAGTGACTGTGGTAGTGGCAGTGGTAGTGACTGGTAGTGACAGTGGTAGTGAAAGTGGTAGTGACTGTGGTAGTGACTGTGTTAGTGACAGTGGTAGTGACAGTGGTAGTGACTGGGAGTGACTGTGGTAGTGACTGTGGTAGTGACAGTTGTAGTGACAGTGGTGGTGACAGTGGTAGTGACAGTGATAGTGACTGTGGTAGTGACTGTGGTAGTGACAGTTGTAGTGACAGTGGTGGTGACAGTGGTAGTGACAGTGGTAGTGACTGTGGTAGTGACAGTGGTAGTGACTGTGATAGTGACAGTGGTAGTGACAGTGGTGGTGACAGTGGTGGTGACTGTGGTAGTGACTGTGGTAGTGACAGTGGTAGTGACTGTGATAGTGACAGTGGTAGTGACTGTGGTAGCGACTGGTAGTGACAGTGGTAGTGACTGGTAGTGACAGTGGTAGTGACAGTGGTAGTGACAGCGGTAGTGACAGTGGTAGTGACAGTGGTAGTGACAGTGGATATATCAAAAGTAAATACCAAGGATGGTGGTAGTGACTGTGGTAGTGACAGTGGTAGAGACTATGGTAGTGTCAGTGGTAGTGACAGTGGATATATCAAAAGTAAATACCAAGGTTGGTGGTAGTGACTGTGGTAGTGACAGTGGTAGTGACTGGTAGTGAAAGTGGTAGTGACTGTGGTGGTGACAGTGGTAGTGACAGTGGATATATCAAAAGTAAATACCAAGGTTGATGGTAGTGACAGTGGTAGTGACTGTGGTAGTGGCTGTGGTAGTTACTTATAGTGACAGTGGTAGTGACAGTGGTAGTGACTGTGGTAGTGACAGTGGTAGTGACAGTGGATATATCAAAAGTAAATACCAACGTTGATGGTAGTGACAGTGGTAGTGACTGTGGTAGTGACTGTGGTAGTTACTTATAGTGACAGTGGTAGTGACAGTGGTAGTGACTGTGGTAGTGACTGTGGTAGTGACTGTGGTTGTGACTGTGGTGGTGACAGTGGTAGTGACAGTGGTAGTGACTGGTAGTGACAGTGGTAGTGACTGTGGTAGTGACAGTGGTAGTGACTGTGGTAGTGACAGTGGTAGTGACAGTGGTAATATCAAAAATAAATGTAAAATCTAATGTGAAAAAACACAACATATTGGTCAATGGTGGATGAAACAACCTTGCAATCAACCATTTGGACTCAAATAAATTTAAGAAATAGGTAAATATGGAATAAAGAGACAGTAACCTGAGGCCTGAATGAATCGGAAATAATTTAGACCAATTAACAGAGGAAAACATGATTAAGAACAATTGTGTTGGTGAGGACAATTTTGTTTCTCAATTACAAACAGACAAGTTTGTTCATCCACAAACATTTTAAACTACTCCCACAAAAATAAATCCCCGTGACCTCACTTTACACCACCTTAATGAACCTTAAAGAAATAGACTCTGACTTGTGTTTGTGTTACAGCTGCTGTAAGTCCGTGCGAGGTGGGAGGTCCTCTGAAGGATGAGACTGGGGACGAGTACTACTGTGGACGTGGATCGTCCGGATTCTGTCCTGAAGGTTCCCGATGTGTTATCTCCCCCACTGATACATATGCTGTGTGCTGTGTTAAAGGTATATACCAATACATATATATATTACAAGCACTATAAGGTATACTAATAAAATAAACATCAATTCTAAGTAAAAACCAAATGTAGTTCCTATTGTCAAGATATCTTTTTTTGATCACTATATGACAGACTTGCTTTCACTAGGTATAGTATGCCTTGGGAAACTTATGGGATTCTTTCATTAAGGTCAAGGTCACAAGTTCAGGTCAAATTTAAGATTTTTGGTTTGTTATTTCTTGTCACAAAATATATATATATGGGTATAAGACAGTGTGCTGTAAAGCTGTTTCCAGATCATCATTCAGATATAAAGTTCAAATATCAAATTGTATTTTTAAGAATAAAATCTTCAATATTGTATAATTCTAAAGGATATTGAATATGCCAAATGGTATTCAAACAACTTCTTCTGATGAACAATGAAGCGCAGAGTAATGGTAATTGATACTTAGCTTGTTGGGATGAATGAATATGAAGTTTGCTGAAATAGATGACCTTATCCCACATTTTATCAACTCCTGTTCAAATTCTAGTTGGCCTTACAGGACTGTCCCTTTATGTTTTTATTTGTTTATATTGTAATCATTTGTTTTAGTTTCAACTTTTTTCTCTCTCTAATTTTCAGTCAAAAATTCAACAGAAAAAGGTAAGATCTGGAATGTAGCAACCTCAAGGTAATAGGAGTGTATTGATAAACGGAAATAGGAAGTATATCCCTAGTTGAAAATCCAATGTACATAATGTAGGGAGACAGTATCACAATTTCCGCATATTCTGATGTTTAATATTAAACTGGTGAATATTGTATGTTTATTATTGACAGAAAAGTGTGTTCTCTCAATATTAAAGTATTTCAAAGCAATCCAGGCATTAATTCAGTTGTTTTTTATCAATGAGTCACATGTGTCCATTTTTCTATACTTCAGGAAACCGGCTACCCATTTCACTACTATGAAGTTTTTCAAGAAAGATAACTCATACATGCAATTACTATGTGTACATGGTTTTATTATAAAATGTCACTTTTTAATCGTTTATAGATAATTAATTTTACACAATTTCAGCATTTATTAAATTGATATACATTAATGCAATACTAATCTATGTCATTTTAATTTTTATTGACATTATTTTGCAAAAAATTGTGTCTTCCAAATTCACCCCTTTTTACATAAATTTCCCTTAAAATCCTTAAAATTCTGACAACCTATATTTTTTTTTGTGGCAGAAATATTTCTTTTCTTCAAAGCAAAATGACTACAAAATTTGAAGAAATTCTACTGAGAAATGGTGACACAATCCTTACCTTAAACTGCATTAGAGAATATGTCATTGTTCACAAAACAATTTGTCCTTTTAATAATTTACTGTCTTACAGGTGAGCATATCCAGGCTGTTTGTGAACTTACTTGTATTGTATCTTTAATGCATTTAGTTAAATTACTTTAAATTATAAAACATGTCACAGCTATTACTACTGTTAAGTATGTTGTATATACATGTATATAGGTGTGTGTATCACTGATTGCACCGTTTCTGATTCAATTAGATGTTATTCCCCTTATCTTAATATCAGTAGAGCATTCAGGACTAGTACTATGAAGTCCAGGTTCGACTCCAAAAGAAAGCACCTAGAAAATCAAATGTTAGCTTAATTACGTAATGAAAGGGTATTTTCCATCAGTTTATTAGATATGTAATTAAGTACAGTAAAACCCCGCCAACTGGAACTCGTAGGGTTCAGATCAATAGTTTGAGAAATACATGGTATTCAACGAATCCGAGGTTCGACTGACATCTTTGTATGTGACATATTAAAATGAAAAATAAAAGAATATTTTTTTTTTTAAATTTCTTGGTTTGCTACTTATAACTAATTTATGGATGACTTGTCATATTAATGAGAGAAAAAATTGCAAACAAAGTCTGATTGCATATATGAATGGATTGAGTGATGGTTTTTCTAACAAACTGAACATTGTTTTAATACACAATGCTTTATTTACAGACTGTGGTTCAGCCCCAGCAGATCTTGTGTTCCTAGTGGATGAGTCTAGTAGCATTGGTGCCACTGATTTCCAGATTCAGAAAGATTTCGTGAAAAACCTTATTAACAACCCGATCATAGCTGACAATGTAAAAACAGGGGTAATGCAGGTCGCACTAGTAACATTTTCTAGAAATCCCATCAAAAGGTTTGGATTGAATACTTACAACAATACACAAGACATGGACAAAACCATTGACGATATTATCTATGATAAATCAGGAACTGAAATTGAAAAGGGTTTGAAGTTTGTGCGAGAAGTTGCCCTGTCTGAAGCAGAAGGAGCACGCTCTGCAGCTCCCAAAATTGTAATTCTGATAACGGATGGTTCTTCCAATGACAACTCTGTGTCCGAGGCAAATAAACTCCGTGACATGTTTGTTACCCTGCTTGTGATTGGAGTTGGCAATGTTGATGATGATCAGTTGTCAGCTATTGCAGGCGATGACACATTCAAGTTTACAGTTGCTGATTTCTCCGAACTAAGTGGTATTGCTGAACAGTTTGTGGCATCCCTCCCTTGTCCTGAAGGTTGGTGGCCTCTGCTTCATTTTCTTTATTTCTGCTTCTTTTGCAATTTTCTTGACTTAAACTATTATAATGCGAAAATATTCATGTAAAGTTCTTCATATCCGTCCAGTTCCGCTACATATGATAGTCTACTCACTTCCTGTTTTGAAGCTACATGATAATCTATTTACTTCCCGTGTTACAGAGCCACTGACCTGTCGTCTGTCTGAAGCTGAAGAATGTTACAAAGGCCAGGCCAAGTCCCTACTGACTGGCCTTTACCCCATAGGGGCTAGGGCTTCTGTCTGCAGGTACATATACATTTACAGTACAGTAACAGTACAGCAGGGCAGACTTGTAGAGGCAGAATAAAAAAAATATCAACAAGGTTCCTCCCAAAGTAAACTACAGAAAAAAGAAAAACAGAAAAAAAATGATGAGTTTTGTTATGTGTATGATTGTAAAAAGCTATCAAGAAGTCAGAAAAATGTAGCTTTGAAGTTTCATAACACCTTAAATTGTTGTGATTTTACCATCAAAATAATAGAAGGGGTCATTCTGGTGTGCCAGCTAGTCACTTTAATTATACTAGTCAAGATCATTGTAGCTATAGATGTGATTATAAGGTAAGGATGATGTTATATACTTTCTTGTGCAGACGTAACTATTTTCACTTAAAGTAATATGTTTAGTGTAGCCTGAATAATATTGTAACATGTTTCAAATTATAAATTGAGAGATGTATAAAGTCAGGTTATAGTAGTGTGATGTGTCAGCTAAAATCAGTTATTTTAAACAGCAACACCGAAGGGTACGCAGAATGTGTGAGCACTTTGACAGTTACTTGTTCTTCGGAGAAACGGCAGAAGTTCCTGCAGGTGTCTGACTGGACAAAGAAGCTGGTCAAGACTCAGGCCATCTGTGATCAACCAGAGGATGACAAACCGAAATACTGTCGTCAGGAGGAAGCTGCACGCTGTTTAGCTGCCATGTCTAAAACCATTGCTCGCTATCAACATACACCATTACGGACAGCCATCTGCTCGTAAGTTTCTAAATCAGCACACCCATATGGAAAACCCTCTACTTGTAAGGTTGATTAACACGTACCCATATGGACAACCCTCCACTTGTAAGGTTGATTAACACGTACCCATATGGACACCCCTCTACTTGTAAGGTTGATTAACACGTACCCATATGGACACCCCTCTACTTGTAAGGTTGATTAACACGTACCCATATGGACAACCCTCCACTTGTAAGGTTGATTAACACGTACCCATATGGACAACCCTCTACTTGTAAGGTTTATTAACACAAACCCATATGGACAACCCTCTACTTGTAAGGTTGATTAACATGTACCCATATGGACAACCCTCTACTTGTAAGGTTGATTCACACGTACCCATATGGACAACCCTCTGTAGTAGGGGAGGGTTTTTGGGTGCAAAATATATTGAGTATAAGTTTAATTTATTCCGTGGCAATACACTGCCTGGAGCTAGTGCATGCAGTAAGTAACTTACCTGTTTTTATTCGTTAGAAAGTATTGAACTCTGACGTTGTCAGGTCATTTCTGGGTGACTGGAGTTGACCCTCTCGTGTGGTGTATCGACTGGATAGTCGACCACATGCCACAGATAGTTTTGCACGAGCGCGTGCATTTCGGGTGGGTGGGCTAGTGTATAAATACAGTCGTTGCCTGGGAATAATCAGGCAGTCGAACGGATTTGTTTCCGGAGGTGTGCCACAATATACTCCAGGTATATAGCCGATAGCTTAGCACCAGGCGGGTGGTCGTAGGCGATTTCAAGCCTATGTAGGAACTAGACCCAGGGGCGAGTTCGTGTGCGAATGTAGTGTGGAAGTGTTAGTGCCAGTAACCATCATCTGTAAATATCTCATTCTCGTATGAATAAATATTGTTAACAGTTTATTTGGATTATCTCTTCTTTAGCCAACATGTTTCGTAAGTTGTGACCTACCGAACCTGGGTTGACAACATAGGGCGATGCGGGACTCGGGGACACACTAAATACCGATTAAGTGCGTGAACTGCCCGGAGCCCCGACTCGTCCTATTACACCTCTACTTGTAAGGTTGATTAACACATACCCATATGGACAACCCTTTACTTGTAAGGTTGATAAACACATACCCATATGGACAACCCTCTACTTGTAAGGTTGATTAACAAAAACCCATATGGACAACCCTCTCCTTGTAAGGTTGATTAACACGTACGTACCCATATGGACAACCCTCTACTTGTAAGGTTGATTAACATGTACCCATATGGACAACCCTCTACTTGTAAGGTTGATTAACACATACCCATATGGACAACCCTCTAATTGTAAGGCTGATTAACACGGACCCATATGGACAACCCTCTACTTGTAAGATTGAATATTTACATTTGCATAGCATTGCCACTATATAGCCTCTTTGAAAAATGTGTCGTTGATGGGACTTTAATTACCATGCAGCACGAGACACAATTCTTAGCGTATTATTACAACACTGACCGTAACTACAATAAACATGACGGCTGCTGAAATATCGCTGGGCATTGTGAGACTTGACAATGTCATTGTAAATTTATGTGCAAAATAAAAATGAAATAAAAAATACTTTTATTACAACAAAAACAAGACCAAGGTCTGCAATATCGTTCAAAATGCACATCGGTTGAATTCACCAATGCCGGCAATAGAAACAATTTTAACGCTGATGCAATTTATCAGAAATATTGTCTGTTACACTGCACTGATCAACAGGGGTTCATTACAAATGTCTGAAATACACATATTCTATAGAGACACTGACACATATGTTACAGACCTACTGATATGAGTCACTCACAGTACATAAACATTTCAGACATTTGTAACGAACCGCTGTGCTCCGTCGCAAGATTACTCACTTCAAACGCTATCAGTTTCACGCGTCTCGCAGCCACGGTTTCCTGACACAGCTTTGCAAGCAAACAAATCATAATGCGCGCTGTGTCATTCAAATAGATCATAAATACCATACAAAAACAGTTCAATGCTTAATTAACATGTACCCATATAGACAACCCTCTACTTTTAAGGTTGATTAACATGTTACCATACAGACAACCCTCTACTTGTAAGATTCGTTGATTAACATGTACCCATATAGACAACCCTACACTTTTAAGGTTGATTAACATGTTACCATGCGGACAACCCTCTACTTGTAAGATTGATTAACATGTACCCATATAGACAACCCTATACTTTTAAGGTTGATTCACACATACCTACATGTATATGGACAACCATCTACTTATAAGGTTGATTAACATGTACCCATAGAAATAACTGTCTACTTTGCCTTATACCAAACTTTCAATATCTCTGCTGAGATTTCTGTCTGCATACATCACACATGAGGGATAGATTCTTCTTTAAATATCAAAGTTAATCAAACTTGCTATGTTATTTAATACATACTCATTGACTATCACAATCGTTTATTACAGACAAATCCTAACAACAGAGACCTGTGTATTAAAGAGCATAAAAGACTGTGATGAGGAGAAGCATCAGAGTGTTTTGCAGGCATACCAGGACATGACCACACTGGCCCGTCTGGCTTGTGTGGCCCCCCAGACCCCTAAACCAAAGCTACCAGACTGCGACGACGAGGGTCAGATGTGTGATGACATTGAGGCTCTCAACTGCATGGTATCTGCACATACCAAGCTTGTGGCCTCCAAGGGAAACAAAGAAACTATCTGCAAGTTAGTTTACAATTAACATGGTCTCGTGAAGGTCACAGCATTGTCACAAGTCGCAAGTTATGTGACAAGATCACAGGTCACAATGATTATATGGTAGAAATAACTCTATTCATGACTTAATGTTTTTCCTTCAAGCATCGAAAGAGTGGAATAAAATGTCCACTAGTGCTGCACTATCAGGAATACATGGTCTTTGTTATGGATTTATCAGAAAGTAGAATAACGTCAACTCTGGATCATGGAATTACTTCCACCCCTGTTCTGTTTTTAAATTAAACAACAGCAGGACACCACATTTGTTCAGTAAAAGAATTTTAACTTCAGATGAATTACATTTTGTAGACTGCATAGTTGACAACCACTTTAATTTGTTTGTGATGTGTAAGACATCCTGTAAACTTCACAATGTAAATAGCTTAGGATATTTTGTCAGTATTTCTAATAAAATCTGACAGGGTAATTGAAAAATAATTTGATTGAGGCCTGTTATGATCGAGAAGAAGTTATAATTTAACCTGAAAAGCTTGTTTAGTACACATGTTAATAGTTTTCATGGTTGCAAAAATCCTAACATAACCACAAAAGATATATGAACAATTTGTCTCATCTTCAAACATTCATATACTGGTAGGCTGCCAAGTTTGTATCAATATTACTGTATGTGTATACTGTTATAACTATACATGACAGTGTTACTACAATTTAGGGGGGACTTCATCACAACATAGTCAAGCGTTACCAATAAGACGGTTTTTGAAGGGTTTTATTTGGTCTACTAGGTGCTTGAGTATGTTGTGATTAAGTCCCCCCTAATTATATTTAGTTCCTCTTTAATCGCCCGGCATACTATTAGTTACACGGATTTTTGGCAGGGTATAGGCCGAAGGAAATACGAAATCCTGTAGGGTCATACCATCCCGTATACCCTGCCAAAAAACTGTGTAACAAATTTATTACCCCTTTGAGTCTTTTCAGTATGCGAAGCGAAACGTTTTGCCATTTTGTAAACAGCGAAGCAGACGACGAATGCCAGTTGTACTGTTGCCCGGCCGCAAGATACAAAGACACGTGACCCGTATACCCCTTGTAAAATCACGTAATTCCACCGTATTACTGCTGAGAATCACATGACATGACCGTATACCCCCTGATATTTTCGTATACCCCCCGAGATTTACGAATGCGGTTTGGTACACTGTAGTTTTTAACCAATCAGATTCCTAGATTTTTCTCAAACGGGTAATAACTCTTGGTATCCGCACTCACAGCGAAGTACCAACCACAATACCTTTACCTGACGTTGGCTCTACACCTTTGAAGTTTAGTACAATATTTTGAGTGTTGTTATGGTGTTACTACACGGGAGTTATTTGTGGTTTCAGTGCTCTTGTTGATGCCAAACATTGTGTGAGGCGTCAGATAGCTGGCTGTGAAGCGCGTGAGAAGACAATCATCCATGCGATGTATGAAAAGCTGGTTAGTCGTAAGGGCCGCACGTGTCCAGAAATATACTGTGAACGATGTGCAGCTCTTCAGTGCATCGAGGATCTCAGTACGATGATTAAGAAGGGAGAGAAAGAAATGTGCAAGTATGTCCCCATGTGTCCCTCCTAACATTACCATGTCCCCATGGCCTTACTGTGTCCCGTCTAACCATGTTCCCATGTGTTCCATCTAACCATGTCCTCATGTGTCCCTCCTAACATTACCATGTCCCCATGGCCTTACTGTGTCCCTTCTAACCATGTCCCCATGTGTTCCTGCTAACATTACCATGTCTCCTTGGCCTTACTGTGTCCCGTCTAACCATGTCCCCATGTATTCCCTCTAACCATGTCCCCATGTTTCCCTGCTAACATTACCATGTCCCCTTGGCCTTACTGTGTCCCGTCTAACCATGTACCCATGTATTCCATCTAACCATGTCCCCATCTGTCCCTGCTAACATTAGCATGTCCCCATGGCCTTACCGTGTCCCGTCTAACCATGTTCCCATGTGTTCCATCTAACCATGTCCTCATGTCTCCCTGTTAACATTACCATGTCCCCATGCCCTTACTGTGTCCCTTCTAACCATGTCCCCATGTACCACTGCTAACATTACCATGTCACCATGGCCTTACTGTGTCCAGTCTATCCATGTCCCCATGTGTCCCTGCTAACATTGCCAGGTCCCCATGTGTTCCATCTAACCTTGTCCCCATGTGTCCCTGCTTACATTACCATGTCCCCATGCCCTTACTGTGTCCCTTCTATCCATGTCCCCATGTGTCCCTCCTACATTACCATGTCTCCATGGACTTACTGTGTCCCGTCTAACGATGTCCCCATGTATTCCATCTATCCATGTCCCCATGTGTCCCTTCTAACATTACCATGTCTCCATGACCTTACTGTGTCCCGTCTAACGATGTCCCCATGTATTCCATCTAACCATGTCCCCATATATCCCTGCTAACATTACCCTGTCTCCATGGCCTTACTGTGGCCCGTCTAACCATGTCCCCATCTATCCCTGCTAACATTGCCATGTCTCCTTGGCCTTACTGCGTCCCGTCTAACCATGTCCGCATGTATCCCTGCTAACATTCCCATGTCCCCATGACCTTACTGTGTCCAGTCTAACCATGTCCCCATGTGTTCCATCTAACATTACCATGTCTCCATGGCCTTACTGTGTCCCGTCTAACCATGTCCCCATGTGTCCCTGCTAACATTACCATGTCCCCATGTGTTCCATCTAACCATGTCCCCATGTGTCCCTGCTAACATTACCATGTCTCCATGGCCTTACTGTGTCCCGTCTAACCATGTCCCCTGTGTCCACATTGTCATTGATTGGTTTGTAATTAGTGGACGGATATAATGGTTTCTCCCACTCTTCCCCCTTTTTGAACACTTATATTTGTTTGATATCATCTGGAATCTTAAGTATCAATAGTACCACTACTAACAGTAAGTTGCTGATATTAACTTCTAGCTACTGAAGATTTTGAAAAAATGTCACACTTAAATGTTATATCTGTATGGTGTGTAGATGGGTAAACTTTTACACTTAAGGTAAAGCGTACTACTACATCAGTTATAATGGCGAAATAGAGCGCCACTCCGAGTTGTTTAATTGGGGATTATTTTCCTTTCAACATAGAGGACGAAACAAATAAAACAGTCTTTCTGGCTTAGAGTAACTTCCCCTGTCAAGTTTTTCAGAGGCTTTACAGTCCATAGATTGATGTACATTTATTTTGATGGTGTGTATTTATAATTCCTGTACGGAAACATCGGTTAAGTGTAGACTTTGAAATGTCGAGGTCCTCTGTTTGACCACTGCAGTTTTTCCCTTTTGTAATTTTTTATTTCTGTTTTTAAACATTCACATTTTGGAACAACTGTAATTTTGTTAAATGCCTCACAGCACCTTATTTTTATTGAATACTTCTTTTGAAAGGGGCTTAAATAAATATCACAGTAGCGACAATAGTAATAATATAGTTTAACTAGCTGATACCCTTTACCTTAAATTGTTTGATTTTAATGGTGAATAGTTATAATTTTTACATTGAAACTGTTTAATTTCCATGGTGTATATAAGAAAAATTTCACAATGAGGTTGCTATATTTCCATGTTGTTCATACAAGTCAATCGTCCTTATTTTCCAAGCATGATTGAGAGTACAAAAAGATGTGTACGGGAGAGAGCCCAACATTGCTCCGGAGAGGAGCAAAAGAAAATCTATGCCAAGCTGGATTATGTTGTAATGATGACATCGTCTCAATGTGAGAGAGTGGCCATGCATTGCATCACTGCCTTCAACTCAGCTTCCTTGGAGATAATAAAGTACAATCAGCCAAGCAAATCAACAGATAGTAGTAATATCAGCAAACAGTCTGGTAATCACAGTGGCGGCTCTAAGGCTAGTGGTGACAGCGGTTCTAAGGCTAGCAAAGGCAGTAAGGAAAGTGGAAGCCAATCTCAAGATCCTAGAAAGAAAAGAAGTGCTAAGACTTCTGGATCACAATCTGCAGCTAATTCAGCATCTACCTCAGGATCTAACTCGGGTAGTAACTCTGGAGAAGGGTCCAATACTGACTCTGGTATGTCTGGAACAAGTCGTCAACATTCGGCTGAAGTTGATGAAGACGAGATTATATGTGATGATCAACTTGACAGCGATTATATGTTGGACATATCCTGGTCAGTAGATCTGGATACATGTAGTATGGATGATACTGGGTCAGCTGAAAGTGGAAGCAAATCTAGAAATAGTGGCAGCAAGTCAGGGACAAGTTGTGAAAAATCAGCTCCGAGTTCAGGTAGTAATTCTGCAGGAAGACCATCTGCAAGCAGTGAGTCACGAAGTGGCAGTGCACAATCTGCAGGAAGTGCACCTGCAAGTGGTGAGAAAAGAAGTGGCAGTGCACAATCTGCAGGAAGTGAACCTGCAAGTGGTGAGTCACGAAGTGGCAGTGCTCAATCTGCAGGAAGTGCACCTGCAAGTGGTAAGAAAAGAAGTGGCAGTGCACAATCTGCAGGAAGTGCACCTGCAAGTGGTGAGTCACGAAGTGGCAGTGCTCAATCTGCAGGAAGTGCATCTGCAAGTGGTGAGTCACAAAGTGGAAGTGCTCAATCTGCAGGAAGTGCACCTGCAAGTGGTGAGTCACAAAGTGGAAGTGCTAGCACATCTAATGAGAATTCTAATGAGAGCAATGAGAATTCTAGAGGCAGTGGTGAAGCCAAGATGTGTATGAGCCGTTTAGCATGGATGTGTAAGAAGGCCCGCATGAGCTGGGAGTGTGCCCAGGAATCCTTGCTGATCTTACCAGCAGACAGACAGCAGGTACTGAGACAGGCTCTTTCAGGGGTGTGGGCATCCGTCCAGTACAGATGTGCAGGTAAGACACGCACAAATTCACACATGTGCACAAGTAAATGTAAGCCTAGTATCGTAATCATACATATAACATGTTTGATGTCATTTTCGTAAAATAATTTCTCTCAAGAGAAAAAAATTGGTGTCTTAACCTTCTGTCTCACTTCAGAAAAATCCCTTAGACCTATGAAAAATCCTTTTTTTATTGATGTTTATATATTCCTTTTTATTAAAAATGGATGTGACAGATGGAAATAATTTATCCTCTTTGAGATTACAAAAGGGGGAGAGCCCAAAAGTTTGGTTAAAATGTATTATCATATTCTACAGAATTGGATACACTTGAATTTAAAATAATGGTGTACATTTGTAGGATATCAACCATGACGTATGTAACCTTTTTATCAGTATCTGTTTTTCTTGAATTTCTAGTTGATTCATTGTAGAATAATATATGTTGCTTAATTAGTACATATATGTTTAAGTGCAATTAAATGCAGGGTCAGGGGATTTAATGGTTTATATTATTTTGATCATTTATTTTATATGATAATGAGACTTATTTCTGTTCTGATAAAAGATTTTATATTGTGCCACAGCTTCAAAATTGCAGTGTTTTAGCTGTCAGAAGGACGACTCTAATGAGCAGTGTAATGCCAGAGCTGTTGATACATGTGCCGCTAACAAACAGGTACATAAGTAATCAGTTTTGTCTGTCATGTCGTTCATAAAAAGTTTTTACTTTAAACATATTTTTAGCCACCATCATCAGATGATGGCCTTTTCAAATTGATTTTCCTTTGTATAGTGATGTTGTATATCATCCATCCTTAAGCAATTCTAGGTGTCACTTCTTTTCAACTGGACAATTCCTTCTCAAAATGTCTGATGTTGGATTCTCTAATAGTTCTTAGTGTATATTACAAACATTTTTATTCAGACTAATTTAGACTGATTGGAAAAAACAGACAGTCTCGATCTGATTGAAACACGCACAACAAAGGGATGGTACCCAATTTCGGCTTTGACCGTTCCACTTTTTCTATTGCTATTTACCAAGAAGCACTTGACAGATGTTTTGAAAGATGTATGTTTGTTTCCCTCTGTAATAATTTGTTTGTTTCATTTTGATACTGATAGAAAAAACAAGATGGCTGCCAGGTGGCCGCTTCTGAATTTAATGTTTAAAGTTTGTTATCACTATTTCTCAGAAATTACAGATCTTTCTAAAATTTCATATGTAGGTTATTTCTATTTCCTAGTTTTGCATATTTTAGTTTTAGCTCCAGATCTAGACTTCTTTATAAGAATATGGTTGCCAGAAATAGAAAATATCTTCCTTGATTCATATTTCACGTACACTATTCTAGTAAAAGGGGTTAAACAACAACCTCACTTTGAAAGAACTATAATGTCAAACACAGCAGCATGAAGTTTTGATTTAAAGTTACCACACAATGCTTTGACACATTCACCCCTGAAGACACATTTGAACTCTTCCAATTCAAAGGTTGGAAAAGTTCACTATGAAATTTCAGGGGTGAAGGAGTTAACTGTTGACATGACTGTCAGTTATAGAGACCATAACTTACACAAATAACCAATGTAAATCTTATGGTGGTGGGTGCCATGATCACTAGCAGACTTTTGTATTGACCAAATATCTACAAGGGATTATAGGCTAAAGCTAGTTACAACTCATGAAGGCATCTTCTCCCAACATTTGACGTACAAGTGATTCCATAGGGAGACAGTTACAAATGATTTAGGAAGAAAGTTGAAACTGACATTCTGTAAATGAAAATTGTAATACAAGGAATTGATAGCTTCCACTGGATCTAATTATAATTAAAATATTTGATATACGAGATATTATGTCTAAATATTATCCTAATTTACTGATAAAGTTTGGTTTTCATCTCTATAAGCAATAGTAATCTCAAAGTTGATTTGTATATTTCAGTTGTTTATATTGTAAAACATTTTCTGTATGCACATTTATATTACCCCACATGATATATAGATGCTCAAATAATGAATGATAAATTGAAATCTTTAACCTGTACATGTAAGCAAATTGTATTGTAGAGATTTAATTGTTAAATTGTATATTATAATTAGGCTTGTGAAACAGTCGTGGACTTTGGTGCCAAAGTTATCACAAAGGGCTGTGTTAACCCTGACTCGTGCCAGTCCCAGTGTACAGGAAACGGCAACAAGTGTTCCTACTGTTGTCATGGTAGCCTGTGCAATCAACCGTGGGACAGTGTCATCACTGGTAAGTCGCTACAGTTGTAGTCAGTACCCAAAGGGTTTACTGAGTGATAACTTCTGATGGTCTGCAGTCAGTGCACATAGGGTTTTCTGAGTGATAACTTCTGATGGTCTGCAGTCAGTGCACATAGGGTTTTCTGAGTGATAACTTCTGATGGTCTGCAGTCAGTGCACATAGGGTTTTCTGAGTGATAACTTCTGATGGTCTGCAGTCAGTGCACATAGGGTTTTCTGAGTGATAACTTCTGATGGTCTGCAGTCAGTGCACATAGGGTTTTCTGAGTGATAACTTCTGATGGTCTGCAGTCAGTGCACATAGGGTTTTCTGAGTGATAACTTCTGATGGTCTGCAGTCAGTGCACATAGGGTTTTCTGAGTGATAACTTCTGATGGTCTGCAGTCAGTGCACATAGGGTTTTCTGAGTGATAACTTCTGATGGTCTGCAGTCAGTGCACATAGGGTTTTCTGAGTGATAACTTCTGATGGTCTGCAGTCAGTGC